TGATTTTTGTCTTAATATTAATAATGAGTAATTGCTCCACCAATCTTCAGACATTCAGCAATTCTTCGTGGCATGCTCCTAATCAACCGTCCAATCACGATTTGGGGCAATCTGACCCACTCCTCTTGCAGTGCCACGGCCAATTCTATCAGTGATGTCAGTTGAAGTTGACATGCTCTGTGGGGGAAAGGACAGGACTCATGGCTGGACAAGGCATATGGACAATATGGTGACGCTGGAGGTAGTCATTCACGACACGAGTGTGGTGGGCACGGGCATTATCATCTTGAAAGACGAAACATCGACCTGCACGTTGAGCAAAGGGCAGAACTATCGGTGGCAGGATGTGGTCACGGTAGTACACACCAGTGACCCTTCCTTGAACAATATGCAAGTCCGTTCTGACAGTCATGGTGATTCCTCCCCACACCACAACAGACCCACGCCTGAATCTGTAATGCTGTCTGACGTTAACGTTAGCATGACGCTCATTTACACGGCTCCAAACGCAAGCATGCCTATCGGTGAAATCCAGAGTAAATCTGGACTCATCTGAGAACATTACACGCGCCCATCAACGATTACCCCAATTTCTACGCTGCCTATACCATCGACGCCTGTTTGCGATGTGTTGGCGAGTTAATGGAGGCACAACACGAGGTGTAACTCGAACTTGGTACAAGTTTACAGAAAGCTGATTGGCCGTTTGTCCTCGATTTCGCAGGACCTGTGTACGAAGGTATTGATCCTGGACTTATGTAGTGGCTCTAGGATGACCTGAACGAGGTCTATCATCAACATTCTGTGTTTGTTGGTACCGGTTCCACAGTCTGCTGATCACAGACTGTGACACATTAAGCATGTTGGCTACTGCTCGCTGTGTAGAACCCATTTGAAGCATGCCAATAGCATGTAGACGTTCATCATGTTGAAGACGTCTCATTGCAAATTAAACGTAACACACTAAAGCAAAGATATGCTAAACAGTAAATCTTATGCAAGAACTGATTGGATAGCAAACATGGATAGGATAAACCAGCACGCGGCAGTTTTCACCAACCCTTCCTTGAAGTGTCAAATTTGACAATGAACCACTCCCACGTGAATGGCGCTATTGCGTATCGTACGTGCAGCTCAGTGGTTCTGTTGGGGCAGTAGAGAGAGAGAAATGGGGTTTAACGTCCACTCGACACAAACTCGGTCATTTCGGGACTAACATATGGTTTAATTTTATTTCAATAATTCGCTTGCGCGTAGGGGTCTTTAGCAGTGGGAGGAAACCGGAGGACCCAGAGAAAACCCTCTGTTGGGGCGCAAGTGTCCATGACTATTTATCATATCACAACCTGCATAGGTATTTGCATTCCAATATGCCCTACTTTTTTTGAAGAGTATATAAATATACACACACACACCTAATAAAGCAGATATCTATAATTAAACAATTCTATTTCCATTCCAAAAAAGTAATATATTTTTGGGGAAACTGATGGCAACTCATATTTCTTAAAACATGAAGAACACCTTTTTCATTTCTGAATACTGATCATATACTATGGCATAGACTGTCAGTCCATTCTTTTGTTTGTGATGCCTATGCCAAAAACTGCAAGTCTCAGGTTTCGGCCAGTATCTACTGTAATAGATTTTTCGGGCATCGATCATTATTTGTTTCATCAACGTTCAGAACCCGTTATTTTTCTAAATTGTCACATGAATTTAAAATATACTATTCAAAAAAAGTAGGGGATATTTGATTTTTAAGTGTTATTAAAGTCACCTAATGAAACTGACGAAGAAACAAATGACAAAATGAAATGAAGTTCACATTCATCGATTTATTCCAAATGATCGTTAGACTAAGTAAGGCACAGACTGACCATTATAAGGGTAAAATGATACCCGGGGTCAAACAGCAAAGTTACCACAGCATCACAACCAAGTCAGTAACGGGTAAATCCTCCTCTGTTTGCCAAACAAGCATTGATCCGACGTGGCATACTCCTAATGAGACGTCTAAGGTCATTTTGGTCCAGATTGTCCCATTCCTGTTGCAACGCAGCAGCAAGTTCTTGGACATTGGCAGGACGTTGTTGACGTTGACGTAACCTCTGTCCAAGCATGTCCCAGACATGCTCGATGGGGGAGAGGTCGGGACTCAGTGCTGGCCAAGGTAATGTGGTGATGTTCTGTTGTTGGAGGTAAACTGTAACGATCCTGGCCCTGTGACATCTTGCGTTGTCATCCTGGAAGATGAAACGGCGGCCATGACGTCGTGCGAACGGCACAACATGGACTGCCAAGATGTTGTCCCGGTAGTACTGGCCTGTAACACGCCCTGCAACAACATGTAAAGCCGTTCTTCCAGCAACAGTGATGCCTCCCCACACCATAACAGAACCACCCCCAAATCGATCATGTCTGATGACGTTAACGTCTTGGAAGCGCTCGTTTCAACGACGCCACACCCTCCTACGTCTGTCCAAAAAATCAACAGTGAACCTTGACTCATCTGAAAACATCACATTGCTCCAGCGTCGATTATCCCAGTGTTGACGATCCCTACACCAACGACGTCTTGCCTGAATGTGATGATCTCTCAAACAAGGGATCACGCGAGGACGTCGGGCGCGAAGGTGACCCCTATGCAGTCGATTCCGAATCGTCTGGCCACTCACTCTCACACCAGTGTCTGTTTGAAGACGAGCGCTGATCTGATTTGCTGTGATGACACGATTTCTCAAGGCCAAGGTACGGATAAATCGATCCTGGGCTTGAGTTGTCGCCCTTGGTCGACCTGAGCGTGGTCTGTCCTGTACAGATTGTGTATCACGGTATCTGGACCATAGCCTGCTTATGACAGACTGAGAAACATTCATCGTCCGCGCCACAACCGCCTGTGATGTGCCGATCTGTAGCATGCCAAGGGCACGTAACCTTTCATTTTGGGTAAGCCGACGCATATCAAAATTTGTTTTCTGGTCACTAAAACAATTAAACTGATGTTTCCACCCTGGAATTCAATGCCACAATGACTGTAACATTCAAAGTCAGAGTCGTGCAAATCTTGTGTTGGACCCCCATGATGATCCCAAGCATCACCTGCATTCCATGCGGTAGCTATTGGTGCGTTTGGGCGTCACATGTAACTGGAAATGTTTCTTCTGTTAGGTTCTATAGTGACTTTTTTTGTAGTCATTTGCATATTTTAGTATTATGCCCCCAAAATCAAATATCCCCTACTTTTTTTGAATAGTATATTTAAAATCAGTGTAAACATGAAATTTAGTGCCACTCTAGAATAGTCACTCTGCTTTATGCCCGCTTTTTTATGTTTGTATGCACAAGTAGACAGAGACAGCAACAACACGATGATGTCCCGTTATAAAAATATTGTGGCCCGTTTTTATAACTTCAAAGGCCTGACTTTGCTCTGGAGTTTACAATACCAGGGACACTTTGGATTTTCCCACGTGTGCTGCGTGGTTGTGTTTGGTGCAGTCTGGATCACCCATTCCGTATAATGGATGGGTTAATGAAGAGACTGGGTGATGCTGACTGCCAGGCAGGATACGCCCACATTTTGCCAGAGATGGATAGAGAACAAGTTAAACATAAAGCGATTTTTCGTACAATCAAGGGCCATATTTCAGGAAGTTACGATTCAATATGCGCGAATATCGACAGGAACCAAGATCTTTAGGTTATAAAGATATATTTCAGGTTTCATCAAAATCAGATCAAAAGTGTGACTCCTAGAGGGTCCACAACCATGATATACCATATATTTACACTATTTGCGTACGAGGGTCAGCCATTTGTCCTGAAGTTTTGGTCCGATTTTCACGAAATTCGAACTCTACTATCATTAGGGTGTAACGGTGATATATTCAAACGTTTTTTTTAAATTGGATAAAAATTGTAACCTCTTAAAGGACCACAAGCTAAAAACAAGATTTTTCGTACAATCAAGGCCCATAATCAGGAAGTTTATGATTTAATATGCGCGAATATCGAAAGGAACCAAGATCTTTGGGTTATAAACATGTATTTCAAGTTTCATCAAAATCGGATCAAAATTATGACCTCTTAGAGAGTCCACAACCTTGATATACCATATTTTTCATCGGTCAAGATGATAATGCCGGTGCCCACCGCGCTCGTGTCATGAATGACTACCTCCAGCATCACCATATTGTCCAGCCATGAGTCCTGACCTTTCCCCTATAGAGCATGTCTGGGACATGATCGGGAGACGTGTTCGTCGACGGTGACGTCAACCGACAACACTGCAAGAATGGGCCGTGGCACTGCAAGAGGAGTGGGTCAGATTGCCCCAAATCGTGATTGCACGGTTGATTAGGAGCATGCCACAACGAATTGCTGAATGTCTGAGGATTGGTGGAGCAATTACTCATTATTAAGACAAAAATCAAAAACGTCCATTTTCAGTTTTGACAGTGTATCTCTTTGCGAGTGAAATGGGGCCGTCAGATAAGCCGTTCATATGAACTGTTTATGTTCATGTGTTGGCCTGTTATTAACATACACTGGTTACCTCTAATAAAAACAGCAGTGCATTTCCGCAGTTTTGTATTGTTTCTGAATGACCCCTACATTTTTTTGAAGAGTATAGTTTTCGTACAATCAGAGGCCATAATCCATGAAGTTACAGTCCAATACATGCCAATATTGAAAAGAACCAAGATCTTTGGGATATAAACATATATATTTCAAATCGGATATCATGTGTCCTCTGGGTTATTTTACAAGTGGAACAAGTATGCAAAGTCCTAGTAAGTTAGTGCATATGACTATCTTCATTAGTAGGACGTTAAACTCCATTATATTTCATTTCATTTTTGATTTCTTACAATAACATTTACATCATTAACTTATCATATAAATAGCCTCTTATAAAGTTTAAAAGATTTTTTAAATTTGGATTTTGGAAAATTCAGGGTGGCCTATTTTGGTCCTAATAAAAAAAAATTGCATACTTTTATCATAATTTTTCCTTTAAAGAATTCAGGTGAAGGAAATTCTGTCATATTTTCAACTACAGTTGTCATATCTAGTTTATCACCAAGTATTGTTTTTAACTGTTGAGCCATTATTTGTTGTTGTTTCATAGAACAATGATTCTCAATACACAGAACCAACGGATACCTGGAAAATGAAAGCATTTACAAAAAGCGAATAACATATAGTTAAATAATATACATGATTACTTACAAATGAAATGTAAGACACTGAATTGTCCATATTCATTTATGGCACAATATTCCTGACTAAAGTCAAATACTGTCTGCAAACCAATGGCAATAAAGAAATAACAACATATTGGTCGAAAATCTATTAAAATCAAGCAATTATAATGTTATTTCAAATTCATATTACTTTCCAGGGCTAGAAATTCATGCTAATCTCCGAATCTGATTCGCGCAAGGATTCTCGCAAGAGCTTACGTTGCGAATCTACAAGGATTTGCATAAAATTAAAAAAAAAAAAAAAAATCTCGGAGAATTGTCGAGTCCGACTATTAATGTCAGTCAGTATACGACTGACATTTAATCTAGCCGATTGGTAAAACAATGAATCCATCACTATGGTATCATAATTCAATCTACTTTTGGCTAAATTAGAACGGGTAATTATTACTTATTAATAAAAAAAATAGGTTGCCAGGCAATGAAACATACGCCCACAGCAGCTAAATCGTCCGGGCAGTCAACAAGAGTTGTCACATATTTTTACTTTTTTCGGTAATAATACATTAAAATCTGATTAAGAGTAACAACTCGTTAAGTAATAATCAGAAAACCATTAGAATTTGTTTGGTTTTTATAAAATTTTGCCCTATGCTAACATTTAGTATAGGAAACTTTTAACATCATGGATTTAGCTGTCAAGTCATAAAAATTCATTGAAAATCAATATACTTGTTCGTCTCAAGACCTTACACTCTGTGTATGAATCTGAAGTCAATCAGATGATAACTTTAGCTTTTAAAGGGTCACAAGATTTTTCAAAGTGATCAAGGGCCATAACTTTTGCAGTAATTATCGGAAATCAATATGATTCTTCGTCTCATGACCTCAAACACTCTGTATCAATTTAAAGTCAATCGGATATTAACTTTAGCCTCTAGAGCATTTACAAGATTTTTTGAAGTGATCAAGGGCCATAACTCTGGCAGTAATTATCGAAAATTGCTGAAAATGAATAGACTTCTTCGTCTCATGACCTTAAACACTGTGTATAAATTTAAAGTCAATGGGATATTAACTTTAGCCTCTAGAGCGTCCACAAAATTTTTCAAAGTAATCAAGGGCCATAACTCTGGCAGTAATTATCGGAAATCGCTGAAATTCAATAGGTTACTTCGTCTCATGAACTTAAACACTGTGTATAAATTTAAAGTCAATCAGATATTAACTTTGACCTCTAGAGCGTCCACAAGATTTTCCAAAGTGATCAAGGGCCATAACTTTAGCAGTAATTATCGGAAATCGTTGAAAATCAATATGATTCATCGTCTCATGACCTCAAACACTCTGTATCAATTTAAAGTCAATCGGATATTAACTTTAGCCTCTAGAGCATTTACAAGATTTTTTTTGAAGAGATCAAGGGCCATAACTCTGGCAGTAATTATCAAAAATTGCTGAAAATGAATAGACTTCTTCGTCTCATGACCTTAAACACTGTGTATAAATTTAAAGTCAATGGGATATTAACTTTAGCCTCTAGAGCGTCCACAAGATTTTTCAAAGTAATCAAGGGCCATAACTCTGGCAGTAATTATCCGAAATCGCTGAAAATCAATAGGCTTCTTCGTCTCATGGCCTTAATCACTGTGTATAAATTTAAAGTCAATCGGATATTAACTTTGACCTCTAGGGCGTCCACAAGACTTTTCTAAGAGATCAAGGGCCATAACTCTGGCAGTAACTATTGGAAATCGCTGAAAATCAATAGGCTTCTTCGTCTTATGACCTTAAACACTGTGTATAAATTTAAAGTCAATCGGATATTAACTTTAGCCTCTAGAGCGTCCACAAGAATTTTGGATGCCGGACTGCCGGACGGACGGACGGGGGCGATGACAATATACAACCACATTTCAATGTGGGCGTCAAGGGCGTGGATTTGTCATAACTTTTGGGGGGGACGGACCAACCCTGGAATCTGGAACATTTCATTACCAAACGAAATAAATAATTACGAACAGTTTACTTTACCAGTGTTATCAAGGCTGTAACTAGGGGTAATATGATGGCAATATGGAAAAATTGACTACTACATCAAAACTGCATAAATATTAATTGTTCATGAAGTTAAGTGAATCGTCCAAAGACGTTTGTTCTACGATCAGGACTGTTCTCTTTGAATATCTTGGCGACATGAAGGGGGTCATTATGCACCGCACACGCCATCAAGTGGCTCAGTCGGTTTTGTGTCATGGAGTTGCGCAGCCGAGTTTTGATACAGCGCAGAGTGCTGAAGGATTTCTCGACTGGGCAGGAACTAGCTGGGTTCAGCAGTGTGAGATGAGAAAATCTTCGACAGAAGGGAACGTCTGCCTCACTTCAGGTGACATAATGAGGAAAGCTTCGTGCACAAGTGAAATAGATTTGGCCGAAAACTGGAGCTTGAAGAATGGCAATTCTTGTTCTAAGTCCCGATTCAGCTCCAGATACGTAGAAATAAGCTCACCATCATGTGGATATAAACCTGAAAATCTGTCCTGGCGATCAAAATCATGGGGCGGACAGAGACCTATTCGTCCCCCCCCCCCTTCCAATTCTAAGGGGTGATGGATTCACTGACCAGTTGTTAGGTCAATTTAAATCTTCATTGAATATAATCCCGATAGAACACTGAATACACAGAAAGAGAAACAGTGGGTATTTTCCCGACAGAATCTCAAATGCTGAATTCCTATGACAGGTGACATATTGGTTAGAATTAGGTCAATAAACCAATCTAAATAGCATTTACACACATGCTGAAAGAGGCTTAATTTTAAAAATATTATTGAACTTGAAGCTATATCATAGTTGTACGAATTTTATTTTATAGCAATTTCAATTTTGGTTGTCACGTGATCATTGTGCCGTTTGTCTATCATCGACGAACGAATAGAAACTTTTGCAAGTTATGTGACTAGTTACGTGATGGACAAAAGACAAATTGTGCTATAAAGAAATGCCATGGTGCCATATCAACTTATTTTGACTAAGGCATTTTCTGGATATTACTTTTGACACTATTTAAGTATTTACCAAAAAATCCATTTGATTGTTTATTTTTATCATTGTTCTTGTATTTTGATGTTTTAGATACACAATCTTGTTTTTTAGACAGTATTATTAATTAAGATTCGGAGGATTCGCGCAAATGCCATACTTGAGAATCCTGTTAGATTTTCACAAAAAATGCGAATTTCTAGCCCTGCTTTCTATTCATCAGTCTGAACTATAGATCATTTCCATGCATGAACATCAAGGTCAAGATACTATCACTTATCAGTCAATATATTTTTTTAAAATCCAAAGTTTATTGACCTTCTTACATATTGCAGCTTTAAAAAATGATGATTTTTTCAGAAAATCAAGGATATAGTCTGATTGGGTTTGTTACATAATTCCCATCCGTCGGCTTTTTGGGTAGAAATCGTGGAATAAGCTTTATTTTGAAGGTTTTGATGTTTAATGATAAAAAACCAATGTTGACATTTTTTCTGAGTAGGTCTTCATAGTATGGGAGGCCATCATTTGAGGGTAGCCATTTTGCGATAATATTCAACTTATTTTTTGTTATTTTTACCTTATTTATAATGTTATTGACATATCAACTGTGACTTGGCAATGTAATATTGGCAGGGGTCGTGACAATGTTTTAGATTTTTTTGATCACTTCATGAAGATGGCAGCCATTTTTGCTTATTTTGATTAAGTAGTAGTGTTTGGTGTCAATAAATATGTTTTCAGGGGCACAGATTCAATTTCTGCCAGTTACAAATGTGTACCAGCGGCTGCCAGGCAGGATACGCCCACATTTTGCAAGAGATGGATAGGGAACAAGCTAAAAATGTACGGTACTTTTTGTACAATCAGGGGCAATAATCCAGAAAGTTATGGTCTGAAATGCACAAATATCAAAAGGGACTGAGATCTTTGGGATATAAAGATATGATTTAAGTTTCATCAGAATCGGACAAAAATTGTGACCATTAGAGGGTTGACAACCTTCGTATTGCATACTTTTACACAATTTGCTAACAAAGAGCGGGCATTTTGTTGGGCAGTTTCATTTCGATTTTCCCGAAATTCGAATTCAACCTTCATTATGGTGGAATGGTGAAATATTTAAAATCAGAAAAAAAATTGTGATCTCTAGAGAATCCGCAAGCTAAAAATGCCATTTTTCAAACAATAAGGGGCCATAATCCAGGAAGTTAAGTTCGGGTATCCGCAATTATCAAAAGGATCCATGATCTTAGTGTGTAATGGTGATATATTTACACATTTTTTTTTAAATCAGATAAAAATTGTGACGTATAATCAAGGGCCATAATTTAGGAAGTTACTATCCGATATGCCGAATATCGAAAGGAACCAAGATCTTTGGGTTATTAACTTACATTTAAAGTTTCATAAAAATCAAAAGAAAATTGTCCACAACATTGATATACCATATTTTTACACTATTTGAGTACGAGGGGCAGCCATTTTGTTTGTCAACTATCCTTAGGGTGTAATGGTGATATATTCAAACATTTTTTTAAATCGGATAAAAATTATGACCTCTATAGGGTCCACAAGCTAAAAACGCGATTTTTCGTAAAAATCAGGGGCCATAAATCAGGAAGTTACAGTCAGATAAGGGCGACCATCGAAAGGAACCGAGATCGGATAAAAATTGTGACCTCTATAGGGTCCACAACCTTGATATACCATATTTTTACACTATTTGGGAACGAGGGGCGGCAATTTTGTGAGTTTCGGGCCGATTTTCACGAAATTCGAACTCAGCGGTCCTTAGGGAATAACAGTGATTTACTAAAACGTTTTTTTAAATCGGATAAAAATTATGATCTCTATAGGGTCCACAAGCTAAAAACGCTATTTTTCGTACAATCAGGGGCCATAATTCAGGACGTT